CCACCGCCCAGTGAAGTTGGCTCATAAAATTAACAATTACATATACCTTCTCTGATTTCTCTTTTCCTTTTCTCCCATTCAGTGTCTAACATTACTCTCTGGGCAATGCAAACCTGCTGTTTAGCAGGTATTTGACCTTGATCCTCCATAAGAAAGATCACAATCAGTCTAAGCATCAGTTTCCTTGTCTGTATATGGGGATAACATCCCAGTGTCTTCCCACAGGGCTATGGAGGGTGTAAATGGGACAGTATAGGGAAATTTTTTGGCACAAAGCCCCAAACCTGGTTAGTGGGAGTTGATTTATCACTGCAGAGGAGTCTGTGTGTAACCACACATTGAGTTCCACTTAGTAAAGATCTTGTTCGATGTGATTTTTTGCGAGTTTGTTTGAACTAGAGCTTTCACAGTTGATGGGCAGAGGTCCGCCAAGAAGGTATCAGCCAAAAGGTCCAGGCTCAATGTCAACAGCACACCATGGAAGGCAGCGCTCAGGAACAGAAGGCTCGGCAGCTGGGCAGTGCCTGCAGGACCTGGTGTGGGTCTCTGTCATCCCACGCAGAGGCATCCTGCACCTGCACGGCTATGTCCACCACGGTTTGTGCTCCAGGAGAGAGAGCTGCCAGCTGTCTCACTTTCTGTAGGGCAAGCAGGAGAATGGATTTGTTAGCCAGGGAGAAACAGACTGAACTGGAGTGTCAGCTGCTCAGGAAAGCTTCACGCCCTGGAAGGGGGGTCGTTGAAAGCAGGCCCAGCATCATAAAAAGGAGGCGGCATGGGCCACACAGTTAATCGCAGGCAGCTCAGAAGAGCTGTCAGGCCACCCAGAAAACAATCTTTCCTCCACAGAGAGGAAGTAAAGCAATAATTTTCCATTGACAGTGAAACCCACCTTTACCTTAACACATGAGTCCACATGAATATTAGCAGAGAGAAATGAGTCCAGAGAGGAGGGGCAGAGAGCAGCCACCTGGATATTTGTTTTTTGCTCTTATTGTCTGACAGGCAAAAAATAGTTGAGACTATTGAGTGTAGAAATGGGACTTTAAGTCAAAATGCTATATTCTGGGTCTTACTATATGTGGGAAATGAAATCTAATTGTTTTCAGATTTTCCTTCCCTAAAATATTGCTCCTTCCTGGGAATGCTCAAAAATGAATGAGTGTTCGGAGTGGAAATTTTGTAGCAAATATCCTTGTTTGGATTTTAATGCTTCTGCATTAGAAATAAATTGCCAGGAGAAAGAAAATGAGGTGAGTATCCCAAAATTCATGTGCGTGAGTTGAAATCTCTATTCTTGTATTTCTTTGCTTGGGTTTTCTACCCACAGATTCACACACCCATGCATCACTCCCTCAAAATTTGGGATGCTTCTATGGAATTCTCGGTCAGTGTTTGTAAGAACAATATGCTCCTCGCTCTTAAATAGGGAGACCCGTGGAATTTCTCTTTCAAGCCAAGTTTTGGTTGATGGGATGAGAATCAGATCTCTCATCAAGATTCTTTCAGTACCTTGGAGAGTGACAAGTCTCCCTTCCCAGGGTCCTTAGCCAGCCGCAGGCTCCAGTTCCCAGTGTGATTATTCCCTGGGTAGAGTTGTGGAACAGGCAGGGAAGGAAGGGAATCTGAGTTCCTGGGTGTCAGTCACAGAAGGAATTACTGCTGCTGTTACTGAGACTTACTAGGTATGCATCTTATTTCTCGTGCTTACAAATTAATGATGGCTAAAGGATATATTTGATAATGTCATTTCTCTGCTCAAAACTCTTGAGTGGCTTCCCACGCCATTCAGAGGAAAGCAAAAATTCGGATAAGACTCTGCATAAATCCCCTACCCGTCTGGTTCCATCCTTTCCACCCTCTCCCTGATCACTCCACTGTAGAAATTTTGGAATTCTTACTACTCATTCTCAGCAACACCTTCCCTGACAACACTATCTAAAATTATATGGAGATTCTTACCCCTTCACTTTCTCCTTTCCCCATTCCTGCTGTTTCTCCTTATCATTTATCATGATCTAACAAAACTATCATCTTTTCTCCAACTCCCCTCCCACTTTAATAAAAGATCAATAAGAGCAGGAATTTGGTTTGTTTCCTTAATGATTGCATTCCTATTGCCTACAGCACTCTCCCTGGAATATACAAGGTGCTCAATAAATATTGGTCAAGTGATTAAATCAACAAATGATTAAGCAAATAGATAATCCTCTAAGGGCAGGGGTACTAGCCCTATTTCATAGGTGCTGAAACTTGGGCTCAGAAAGATTCTAGAAGCTCAGGCAAGGTCATGCAACTGAGTAAATACTGCTCTGGAATCCAAACAGGTCCATGTGGCCCAGGGGTCTCGGGCACCATGCCTGCCCAGGCCTGCTTTGTATGCACCTTCTCCATAACAGCCTCTTCCCCTCAGGTGCCCATGGACATCTTGAGTTCTTTTCTTTCCCCTTCAAAAAAATCTCTCCAGATAAGAAATGAAACTTAAACGAGTTAAGGTACAGTTGACAGAAACTCACACCGTTCCTTGTCCCTGGAGATGTGTGCATTCTGAGGGCTTCCAAAGCCTTGCCAGAGGCAGTTGGCTCCAAAGGTGAAATTCAGTCCTCCATCAACAGCCCCTGGGGACAAGGGAAGGGCAGTCAGTCATTAACATCTGGTGACCAGCTCATCTTCACCTCCCGTCATTCAAGGTCATTCAAGGTCATTCTCATGCAAACTTGGGAGCAGGTGGGCGCAGGGCCCTGCTGAGTGTCAGGTGCCACGGTGTCAGGGATTGAATGGTTGATGGGATTCGGTGATTGAACTGGTGTCGAGGATTGAATACAGCCCTCTGGCTCCTTCATTCCTACACTGGCTTAGGGTTCACTTTCCCCAGCTTGACATGGTTAGTTTTTGGTCACCTCTCTAATGACCACTATCCAAACATGACTTGTAAGTACTTTTCACCTTAACACTTTATTCCTAAAATTTTAGCAAGAGGTACAATTTCTTTTTTTTTTTTTAAAGATTTTATTTATGTGACAGAGATCACAAGTAGGCAGAGAGGCAGGCAGAGAGAGGGGAGGAGGAGAAGCAGGCTCCCTGCCAAGCAGAGATCCCGATGCGGGGCTCGATCCCAGGACCCTGGGATCATGACCCGAGCCAAAGGCAGAGAGGCTTTAACCCACTGAGCCACCCAGGCGCCCCAAGAGGTACAATTTCTCATCAGAAAGTAAATTTCCCTACTGCCAGCTTTTCCTCTGATACAGTTTTTAGAGTGCTACTACTTTTTCATAGGCCTTTTCCCCCCTTAGGTTAGAATGGTATTTTAGATCCAGAAGTAGGAAAAGAATTTTTCCAATTATGTTTTTAGTGTTTTATTACTCCAACCAATCCATATAAATGCAAATAGAAAATCAGGAAGACTCTTTTGCAACAATAATCTCTTCCCTACACAAGATGCACAATCAACATTGCACTTACCATAAGCATATCAATGCAGTAACTATTTTTCAACTATGCAGGAGTAAATAACACCTATTGGGCTAGCTAATTAGCTTCCCTGCTGATAACACTAGGCAGATTAAAAAAAAAAAAGACTCTAGACTCCTTGACAGTCTGCTGTCAGACTTTCCAGTTTATTGGGAGTCCTTTGCATCTCATCCATTAGGCCTCATGGTGCCACAGAGCCTGTGAGCAGATAGGACATAACTAACAGATAAATTCCTTTGCCACATTTCCAGATGCTCCTAAAGAAGTTTGGTCATCGAGGCTAGGGAGAGTGGAGCTGTGGCTGGCCTCCTGGTTAGACTTCTAAAGCTGTCCCCATAGGCCTAGACCACAGGAAGAGAAAGAGAAAGGATATGAGGGTCCCTAGTCTATTTTAAAGTTCGTGAGGACTTTTTCACCCCATTTGCGTCTGTACACATAGAGCGAAGTGGAAAACAATGATTTTCTCGGTCAGAATGCCTTTAGTGTGTTGCAGAATCAGACATGCACATACACATTTATTGAAGTTAGGCCTTTGAAGAAATAACCCATCAACCAGGGTTGTATTATCCTTTTAAAAGGAGTAATGTCAGGGGACAACTGGGTGGCTCAGTTGGTGAATCATCCTACTCTTGATCTCAGCTCCAGTCTTGATCTTGGGGTCACGGGTTCAAGCCCCATGTTGGGCTCCATGTTGGGCTCCATGCTGGGCATGGAGCTTACTTTAAAAAAGAAGAAAAGTAATGCCAGGGGTTTCAGTGGAAGGAAAGTCCAGGTCTTTTGTGGAGAGGAAAGGAGTGGGGCATTAATCAGCACAATTTGGGGAAACTGGCTTCCAAAGCTCTCCCCCACACCACAGGGCAACCAGCAGTCCCTTTGTTGTCATTATTGTTACCGGCGGTGTTTCTGTGTTTTAAGATAAAAGGAATCAACAAACTTCCAAGACAAAACAAAAAATCCATGTGCAAGTATATTTGTTGGAAAGAACAAGAGTTACTCCCAGAGGGCACAGGTCATGTTTGTTTCTCTATCAATCAACTGGTGGAGGAAAATACAGTGGTGGCATGAATCTTAACTTTGGCTAATCTCACAAGACTCTCTTAGAAACTGAAATAGCACATCCCAAAAGAATTGGCCCTGCTGAGTCATTTCAGAACACTGTACTTAAAAGAAAGAGAAATCAGTATTGTGAGAGTACATATTACAGGCAAGAAAGAAATCATACCATTGTCATTACAGTAAAAAATGTTCATACTTCCTGGCCAATTTAAGATCAAAGCAAATGTGTCCATCCTTAGCCAGGGAAGTTGCTAACTAATAACATAAATAGTTTATTCTCTTGCAGGGGAAGTTTGAGGCAGGTTTACATTTTTTTAAAAAACTCAATTTACTCTGTACCAGCTCAGAGCGAAATGATATTTAAACATTGAGAGCACACCAATACTTAATGATAAAGATATAACTGACTTTTAGCATGTTAGTCACACTCTACAGAGTTTGAGATCAATTCCCAGAGTCCTTTGCACACTTATTCATGATTTTGCTCTTTGAAAGGAAGTTTTTTTCATCCCTGTGCCAACTCCATTGCGAAAGGACCTTTTCATAAACGTCTTCTCGAAAATGGGCTTTAGAAAATCTAGTCCCTCGCTCCTGTCCATCCTGGTTGGGCAGCTGTTCAACAGGATGAGAAAGTAATCAGATTTTCCAGACACCTGGCAATTCAGATGGGGGAGGAAGGAGAAAAAAACAGGTTTAAGGTGAAAAGTTATTTCGGTTGTAACAATTTTCAAAATCTTAAGGGCTATAAATCCAACATCTCCAAACTTTGTGAGGGAGAAATTACATTAGAACACAACATATACTTTATCTAAATATAAAGTGTTATTCAGAGCTATCTACTCTCTTGTCTAATTCTTATACCACTTATGTAATTGTTGTCCTTCAGGCTTTGCATCATACACCATACATAGTTCTCTTGTTGCTTTTACTTTATAAAGAATCTTTCAAGTGGCACTAATTAGTCCTGAGAGGTCTTCAAAAATTCACTAAGAAAAACAACCCATGATAACCAAATTTTAGGTTCCAGTTGGAAACACTTTCCCTCTAAGATCTGTCTTCAGCCATTTACCAAGTTTCTCCATAAGGCTATCTTGCTACTTGAAAAATATCATCTTCATCTTTTGACTTTGATTCAGTTCTTTATCAGTGATGTGAAGGTCTGGATGGTATAGGGGGTACTTAGTCTTGAAAGAAGTGCATGTCTGGAATCAAGAGCTCAAAATGACCATCAAGTATATTTTCCATATGAAGGAACCAAGTAGAGAGCAAAAGGCCTTGTACCAAGAAACTAGGCTGGCTGTTCCAAGAAGTGGGCCTGACCAAGAGATCAAGTAAGAATTTTCAACACTTGTCCTATGTCCCCTCCTTTGTGGTTTCAGAGGAAGTACATGCTGATGAGTTACAACTGCAAGTTCCATTGATAAATAGAACAAAGATTTATCAATGATCTTCTTTGTGGTAAATCCTTTATGGGCATCATCTCATTTTATCCCCCCAGAAAGTTCTCTGTATGAAGTGGTATTATCATTTCCTCAGTTGTAAGAGAGGAAATTAAATGGCTTGTAGGTGGGGCACCTGGGTGGTCATAATTCCAGGGTCCTGGGATCGGATCGAGCACTCCCTCCCACCACCACCCCCAGACCCCCTGCTTAGCGGGGAGTCTGCTTGTCCTTTGTCCTCTGTCCCTCCCCCTGCCTGTGCTCTGTCTCTTGCTTTCTCTCTCTCTCGCTCTCTTTCAAATGAATAAATAAAATCTTTTTTTAAAAAAATGGCTTGTAGGTGAAGCACGGGTTTGAGCGGAATCACATGATTCCAAGCCCATTTCTCAACCACATGAGAGCAATAAAAGAAAAGGGGGCTGAATGGTTTTATTATAAGGAAAGAAACATACTCCAGAGTAAAAATTACACATTTTCCTTTCCTGGTGCAGGGACACAAGTGTGGTTTCAGATTACTTTGGAAGTTGAAATAGGGACAGAGTGAAAAAAAAAAATGTTCTCTGAGATGCTTCACCCCATGTCTGGGTAGGTTACTGAAGGTTCCAGCAGTCAGAGCGCCCAGGCAAATCATTCTCAGTGGCCTCTGTTAAAAAAAAGATGGGCAACTTTTTTTTCTTTTTTTGGACCTGGAAACAGTCAAACAGAGTTTCAGAAATATTGGTCATGGGAAACCAATCAAAAACTCTTATTTGAACGCCCACTATGTGTTTTTCCCTGTTAATGGAAGAAATCTAAGCATGATATAATGCCATCTATTTTAAATCCCCAACAAGGAGGACCCTATGAGTCATTCAGGAAGGGAAGCATTCCAGTTCTTTCCAGAAATACTCATGATACCACCTTTGTATTGCAAAAGAAATGCATCATTTCTGGTTATAAGATGCTGAAAACATCCCTAAAAAGATTCTGATGTATTTTGCTGATCATTGAAGGGAGTCCTTGCCAGAGCTGATTTGTTAACAGAATAATATGGTATACGTGCCTCCTTGATGTACTTTATGAAGTTCACAACAAATATTGCAAGAACCAATACATCTTTTGTTTGTAATTACTCACCTTGAACAGTCAAATTGATACCATTACTACATGATGGAATTGTAATGAGAATGAAATTGTCACATGCTAAAATAGAAAAATGGAAAATGCATGGAAAGAAGAAGCATTTCATTTATGGACAAGCAGATTTGTAAGTACATTTGAAAGTGCATTCTTAATTTTTTAAAAAAGCTGCTCACAAATGCCTCTTGTTCAACAGAAATGTCATGAACAAACCTTCGGGAAAAGAATAGAAAGTAATTAGGAAGACACTTGAGAAAATATACCAATTTATGGGTTGTGACTCATCGACTTGATCAATATGGTTTGTGTCTTATAGAATCAATGACTCAATTAGTGTTGAATGCTCATAGGACTAAATCAGGAAAAAAAGAAACTAACTTAAGTAAACAAAAGTAGAAAGATGACAGATGCAAAGATCAGTAAGAAGACCAATTATATAAACAGCTAGATCATTATGTTTGGACATATATCTATTATTTAGGATATATGTAACATCTCATTATCCTAAAAGTAGTTCCATGAATTACATTGATTCAGTAATTACAGTATGCCAGGTTAAGTTTCAGTGAATACAAAACATTATCAGTGACAAAAAAAATTTTTTAATTTTAAACAAAGTATTGACATTAAAACGACTGAAATATCATGTAGAAATAGTATTAAAAATTCCAGAGAAAGACGCTCATTTTCTGAATGTTTTGAACAGTTCAGTGATTAATGTTAGACAATCAATATTTTTTAATAAACCTATGAATTAGTATTGTATGTGGTATTTCACTGAGATATGACATTTTATCTATAGTCTGTATCTGAAAAAGTTACCATTTTTATAAAATTGGTAAACTCACTATTTTAAAAAACTGATCCATTGTATTTGTAATATAGTTCCAATGGTTAAATGTTCACTTTGATCATGAGTGGACACATGGAATAAATAAATTGTCATGGACAAAACTACATTTTACATTGAAATGAATGCTTTTTTATGTAGGAGCCAACTCCCAAATAATTCAAAACAAATTTTAATAAGTCTGGCATTATTTTTGTCACATAAATGCTTCTTTTTACTAATTTCATGATTCTACTTTTTTTTTTTCATTGCAAACTCTAATAATAAGAGAAATCACTCTTCTGTCACATATTCCTTGCAATTACTTTGAACCTAAAAACTTATAAGCCATTGAGTCAAACATGAAAAACAGAGGCAAAACTCTTACCTTAGAAGGTGTAACAGAATAACACCAGAACATATGCATTGTAGAAATCAATAGAAGTAGAATAAAGCTGAATTTTAATGAGCTGTAGGGTAGGGAGAGAAAAACCCCTAAGATCAGTTTCATTTAGGCAAATATAAGTAAAAAAGCATATATGAACTCAACAGTTTTTCTTTGTGGAAAAAGGCAGTCTTACCTAATCATTTTGGATTTTCCAAAATTTCTGCAGGCCAGTGGTTTTATTGCCAAATTCCTCACACTTACTGTCAGATCCTCCGTGGGTGACCCTTTTATACCAGAAAAGTTCAGGAGTAAAAATGTCATCACATCTCATCATATGTGACTAATTGGTTCTTTTTTTGTTCTCGTTAAGTTGGAAAAGGACAATAACACACAGGCATTGTCACTGAACTACCAAGGATCAACTTCATTTAAAGTCTGCCATTTAAAATGTCCTTCAAAAACATTGTCTTCTAAACTGTGTCATTGTGAGGTCTCAAAAGAAACCACAAGTTTGTTTTACTTAGAGTTTAAAACTTGAGAGGGATGACTTTATTTCTTTGAATGTCCCAGCATCATGTTCCAGAGACTAACACAAAATACTTACAAGAATAAAGAATATCTACCCTCACAATGCTCAGAGATTATTTAAGTTTTCCACAATGGATTTCCCTTCTTTAGGACTTCTGAGGCGAAAGAAGGGAAAAAAATATCACGTCCTTTTGTCACTGGTCACTCAGATAAAGGAAGGGTACTGCATCTACCCCTTTCTATGTGCATACCCAGAGTTCCAGCCCCAGCCTTCTGAAAAATCTCCCTGCCATGGCCTCCTTTTTCTCTCCAGGGCATAGAGTTTCTCTAGGAAGCCTTTGCTGTCCTTGCAGACCAATGGGCATCCACATTAATAAATTGATTCAGGAGCACTAAGTGTGAACAAATGTTGCTGAAGCTTACAATGGAGAAAAACATCAAGGGAGGTGCCTTCTGCTTGGATAACTAGTGTTTCTGAGATGAAGCCAGCATTTTTTGAATACAAAGCAACCAAGGGAAATCCTTGCTTCCTCAAGATCAGCACCTTTTGGAGGACAAAGCTGCCCTGTGTCTGGGACATTTGTTACCTATTTGTCAGTGCTACATCCCTTTCTTTAGGAAACTGCTGCTCGGTATGATTCTCATGTAGTTGTCAATCAGATAGTCTCTCTTTGTCTACCACGAGGAAAAGCAGGTGACCCAGATTCTCAAGAGAATAAAGATCACAGGGATTAATGCCGAGTTGGGAGCCGGGGTATGTGATCCAACATATATATCAGAGTCTTTTGTGGGATATCACATGGAGGTTGGGAGATATAAAGTTTTAAGAACACCAAAAACTGAACAGATATCTTTCCTTTTGGTGTCTCTTTAAACCCAGCTAAAATAAACACATAAGAACAAAAAGAATAGGAGAGAAGATGACAGCAAGTGTTGTTTTGACTGATGAACTATTGACCAAGTAGATCCTGAGAAAAGTTCTTATTAAAATAGTTTAGTAATAGACCATCAACAGTCTTAAGTCTTCATGGGACCAGTTGCTTTTGGATGTGGTGAAGGTGGCACTAAAAAGAAGAGGACCAGCTGGAAGTTTAAGACATGACTCAAATCAATCCCACATTCCCTCTCCACTTCCCATGTCCAAACAACTTCTGCTCTAGCGGAGGACTATAGGTCTACACTACGGAAACACTTAAGCAGAATATCCCCGACCCAGGGAACCAGGTGTAGTGCTATTAAGGGGTTACATTTCTGAAAACAAAGGTTGAACAAGTGTTATACTCAGTGCTGAGACCGATGGGTCTCCTCCTTGGCACAGCTCCCACACACTGCTAGACGGGTCTTTATCCTCAAGACAAGTGAATGGAACACCTTCTCTGAGGAGTCTACCCAGCCCAAGGTGATAAACCTAGAGATACAGACATTCTCGCATAAAAGCAGACCAGGCAACTGAAACCCACTAAAGTTCAGGGCTGATAGTACCCACTAAAACACACACAAAATTTATGCATATTTTAGTTAAGTTGTTTTGTATTCTTAATGTAAACAGACAACTCAGAGATGCAACTGAAAGGAGTACAAGATATTTATAAAGGCAGAATTGGTTAGAGCGAAGAAAATGGGAGGGAAGTCCATAGTAGCAGTGTTTCATCCTGAAAGACAGAAACCAATCAACAGGAAGTGAAAGTAACTTGAAAGAGAGAGGAGAGAATGCAAGAGAAGAAAACTTAAAAGAAAAAAAAAAAAACTAATATTCTCCCAGAGAGAAGAGAAGATATTGTGTCTATAAAATAAGAAAAGAAAGCTATGTAAGGGAAATCATTTAAGGACAAATAGCAGTTCATGAAAATTAAAACTATAAAAAAAAACTCAGTGGAAGTATTGAAAGATAGGGTTGCATAAATCTCCCAGACATTACAGAAAAAGGGTTAAGGAGAAAATTTAAGATAATTAAAGAATAGCATCCATCCAGTAGTTCCAACATATAAATAGTAGGGATTCTAGAAAAGAAAATTTAAAAAAATGAGAGGAGAGGGAATCATCAATAAAGAAATTCAAGAACATTTTCTGTAACAGAAGATACTGACTTTAGGGAAGGAAGGGACTCATCAAGTGTCTGGCGCTACAGATAAATTTGACGCATACTAAGCTACATCATCATACGATTTCAGCAAATTGTATCCAGCAAATAACTTCTAAATTACCTACAAAGATTCAGACACCAGAAATATTTTGGAATTCTCAAAAATAACATTGAGAGCTTGGAGGAGAATAGAGCAATGCCTTCAAAATTCTGAAGTAAAATGATACCCAATCTAGAATTTATTCCCAACCAAACTATCCCTTCAGTGAAAGGCTATAATAAACATTTTCAGATATATAAGATCTCCAAATTGTATTTCCCCCACATCCTTTGTCAGGAAGCATTTCAGAATATGCTCCACCAAAAATAAGCATATGTACCTATAAAGAAGAGAATGTGAGAGATACATGTAACAGGACATCAGCACAGAAAACAAAGCAAGAAAATTCACAGGATGACAGTAAGAAGAGATCCCCAGTGAGATTTGCACACCAGGCTTGAAGGGCAAAAAGTCCAGATTGGTGTGTTCTAAATGATTCTGGGAGAGATTTCTGTAAGAAAATGAAAGCCATCGAATATCTGCATATCTTGAGAGGAGAATTAAACAACCAGAGAATTTGGGGTTGACTTAGTGACAAATCTACATAAAAGTAAAGAAAAAGAAAAGCAAAAGTACAGAAAAAGCCATTTATTCCAATTAAACAAAGCTGTGTAAGAAACAAAAGTCATCACAGCTAACTACTTGACTCAGCAGAGAGTATCATTTGCATACTTACAGTAATGTAATTATTGAACAATGATCTAACCAAGGGCTAATTTAACTAAATTGGGAGCTAGATGTGGAAAGGGTGTATTTCTGTAGTGCGGTGAATTGTCTAATTTGTACAGACAAAATTCATACTGTACTACTGGAAAATAAAAAATCAAAAAAGATCATGCTATTGAGAGATAAATAGAAAGACAATCAGCCAAAAAGTTTGAAAGTGATGACTCTGAGATCAGGAATGGAGCAGGAGGCAGAAAGTGTTATTTTCACAGAAGTGCCCCCTTAGAGCTAGTTGATCCTTTAAATCAGGTGCATGTGATAAAACTGGGACAAAGGTAACTTTAAAAAATTATGTGGTTATGGGCCAGATATATCTGGAGATTCCAAAGAACATATTTACTGTGATGTATAAAAAGCTTGGCTGATAAGGAGACCTATGCCAGAAGTCAGAGAAAACAAAGAGGGAGAAAGCAAAAATAGCAGCGAGGGACAGACACTGAGAGAGAGACAGAGGTAGAGAGAGGAAAAAACAGAGATAGAGACCTGTTGGTATTGTTAAACTTCCAGATCCATGCTTGAAACTAATTTCTCTCCTCTGACACCCCATTCATATAAGCCAAACCCCCCTTTTCCACAGACTAGTTATTTCACAAAAAAGTTTAACCACTACACCCGAGGATGTGTGTGTTTACTAAGCACTGACTGTGTGCTTAAGAGTGCACCACCTCTTCCTCTGGGTCAGTTCAGGAAGTCTCCATCACTATTCTAAGAAAGCACTGTTACTAGTTCGAACCTCAGTTGAAGAGACTGAGTCTCATGGTGGTTAAACATCACCCTGTTGGTGAAGGGAACAGTCCAGTTTTCATCCCAGTCCTGTGTGACTTTAGAGACCACACTTCAAACAGTATGCCACAGTCCCCTCTCGTGGACCTAGAACATAGTTCATCTACTCAGATCTGTAGGAGATAGCATTTACAACATTCAAAACCCCCACCCTCATCAACCAACACACACACACACACACACACACACACACACACACACACATATGCATGCACACGCCCTTGAAGTTTAATCCTCTGTGTCCTTGAAGCAAGATGTTAATGGGACTGTCTTGGTACTACTTCCCCATCCCACCACTTGACAATTCTTAATGCCTTGATGCCCATCCCCAACCCCGGCTCATGACCTGGTTCTTCCTCTAGACATGACAGCCGTTAGCTGGTTGTCTCTTGTTACCCTACTTTTCCAGGGCAGAGCAACCCTCCATAATTTTAAGGTCCACATTCCCCTTTGCATCCTCAGAGATCCTTGACCACCATCTGAGACACATTTTGCACTCACCTCAATGGCATCATTTGGATGCTTAACTATATACTGCCTTAAATGGCTTTAAAATGTTTCTCTTCTTTTCCAGCATTTGCTTGGTCTCCTGGGAACTCCTTCTTGGAAGCTTCACATTTCTGAAGATATTGCTGAGTATATTGCTGGTATCTTTTTCTTTGTTGAAATAATTCCATATCACTTGGAATTAGTTCAGTATAGGAGATCCAGGGACATTATCAAATCTGAAAATCCTGGAGTCCCTCAAGGTCTAGTTCTCAGGTAGAACAGACTCCCCAGGGAGTTTGATATCGACATGCTCTCCAGAAGTCCAGCTCAAAAGATCACCCGGCAATACCGCCTGGCACCATGACTGGGGGAA